AAATTAAATACGAGCATTTGTTAAATGGACCGATGGATATTTGTCGAAAAACACATATTAATTTTTATTATAATTAAAATATCGTGGAATGTATCTTTTTTATATTTGTAAATTTTTAACTATTTTAACTTGTTATATAAGTTATATATTATTTTAGTTGTATAGTGTAATACGTAATATAAATATCAAAATCAGGTGGATTATTTTAATCCGCGATATTATTAAAGTCTTTCATAGATCGTTCTCAAAGGCAATGCATTTGCGTAGAAGAAGTTATTGTTTTACCTGACAATTATACAATGGTCATTCAAATATAAATGGCATTTATGCTCGTAGGGATTGAATTATTCAGTCAATTAAATGGAATAATAAATTAAGCGAGTTAGCGACTGCGCAGCGGAGTGCAGAAATATGTATGCTGACAAACTCCATAGTGTGGTAATTTATTTCTTTTAATAATTGTTCTTTGCCCGCGTTCCGACAGATGTGGCTATTTTATCTCGAATAACGCGTAAAATATATTTGACAAAAACTACAATTTTCTTGATTTATATTTGTGAGAATGTATGGTATTTCGATTGCGCCATTGGTGCGAATAAGTGAAACGTAACGGAAGGAAGTGGAAGAAAAGAAACACGTAACATTTAAGGAGATGAAGATACATGAAATGAGACAAGAAGGAAAAGAAGGGACAAAGGGTGGGCTGCTCGTAATTAGCAGGCACGTGGCTAATGAATTGCGACCAAAGTAATATCGCATCCCATTAAAAAGGCTTTCGAGCGACATGAGTACCGTGTACCGCAGAACTTAAAATCGTGCCTTGAGAACTCACTTTTGCAAATGCGGGAGCGTGCGGTTGCGGTAAGTAATTTCGGCGAAGTTAACCCGCTTTTGCGATCCCCAGGCTCCATCGGTTTCGTGGCGGGATTACCCGTATATGTAAGGTATTAATTTATCTCGTCGAAACCTTCGAGTTGCAGCTGCAATTCTGTAAAACACATTAATTACGTTACGCCTACCAACTTTGCGCGAAAAAGTTGTTGAATAAACGAGATCCTTAAACGTAATCACAGATCGAAAGTTGCTGGAAAGGTTCGTGTTGAAGAGCCGGGAAGAGAGAAAAATAAAAAAATAGGTATATATAAGTGCTGTTGGATAAAATTCCAATTGGGAATTATTAGATAGAACTTACAGTTATTTCATAAACTGAAAATAAACGAAAAATAAACTGAAAGAGATATACATATAAACTTGATAGAACAATAATAATAATGTATTTTTGTGTCGTTTAAAACTTTATAATGTGAGAGTCCTACAGAATTTCGCAAGTATATTGAATAAAGTTTCATTTCAGTATCGCGCAAAATTTTCAATTTGCATCTAATAATTTTCATATCGTAATTTAAAGAATTTCATAGATAAATTCTTGCCGAAATTGAAACGCGTTATATCACTCCGCTATTCCATTAAATTCCAGAACGCTTTCGAACGAATTTCTGTATCTTCAGACAAATTCCGGGTGTTACGTTAAATGTATATTACGGCCGAAACCGAAGATCTAAAACTTGCTTGGCGTATAGAGGTAAGATACCTGTGGGGTACCATGGATTTCTTGCCTCTTGAGTTTGTCGTAATTGTTCCACGTGATGTAAACTTTGCCCCGAGGTTCAAAGTTGGTATGCTCGCAGGTATGTCCGTTGTCATGCCACCAGGTATGCCCGTTGATATGCCAGCAGTTATGCTTCCAGATATACCATTGGGTATATTTGAAGTCAGACTGCTTGGTATGCTTGCCGTGAAGTCTGCAGGTGAGTCTACGTCTGTAGTGAAATGTAAGTAAAAGACTGCGTATTCGCATTAATTAGCAAAATATTCCTTTGATACATCAATGTTGAAATGTAGACAAAGATTTTACAAAATTGAAGAGTTTGCAAAATAATCATCTCGTGATAAATTTATAAAATTAATTATTGAAATGTAACGCAGTAATACACCTAATTTGTCGTTTTGATACTTATTCGTATTTAGAAAACCGTGGAGGAAAAATAAAACTTTAGCTTACTTAGACGTCGATAACAATTCTCGTGATTTATTATTTAATATCCAATTATAGTGAGTTAGTGAGACATAATCGTTTTATACCTAGCGGCAATTTATTCCCTGTTACATCGGGCGTTATTACGAATTTCCAAATTGGTGCAACAGATATGTATATTCGGTGAAACAAGTTTTGTCTTTTCGTTCGGAGATAGCGAAGGAGATGGCTGGAGGATGTTTCCGGTTGTGAGAACTGCTGCAAAGGCCAGTCGTGTTTAAGTTTCACGAGCATCGCGTAGTCCGCAAAGGAGTTCTGAATACCCTTCAGTCCTCCTTTGTGCTCTTCGGGGAGAATGTAGTTCAACACTGAGCTCTGGGTTTCAACGCTCTTCGGCGTTTCAAGCGCTAGGAATTTAAAGTCATGCTCGTTGATCTTAAGGCTGTTCTTCGGCGTGTGTGAAAGCGCATAGGCATGCGTGTCGCTATTCAATTCACTCAAGCTAGGAAGAGAAAGCGCGACAGCCCCATATTTAGTAGCGTGAAAATAAATCGATAACGCTAAATCAAAGAAACCGAATTTAAATGTAATGTAATTACGCTATATTATTTTATAGATTAATTGGCGCGGTTAGTTTTTTTTTTATTCTAATTTTGCGTCATAAATTTTTTAATTATAAAAATAATTGTTAAGAGAAATAAAATAAACTAGTAAAAAATAACAAGGGTTTATATTAGATTTAGGTACTTATAAAGACTATCGGTAAAGGTAATGGTGTGAAGAATATGTAAATTATTTGACGATATAATTTTCTTGTTACTACTTTACGCATTGTGGTAAGGAAAAATTATTAAACGAAATAAAATTAACGCTAAATAAATACATTTGATTTTATTCCATTTTAAATAATCGTAATTATATTAATTGTTAGTAATTATATTAATACGTTAAGCAATTTGCGATAACACGACGCAACGCGGTCATCTCAGTTTGACATTCTTGTTCGGCAATTAAGTAACTTCACAAGTTTAGTTTAGTTCACTGCATAGTTACAATGCGGGTGGACCAACCGGGTGGATAATAAAGCTTCGGTCAGCCATTACGTACTTTCCGGCGGACGGCGCTATTGATGTTGCCGTGACAAGCGAGCTGGGCTTGGTTGTTAAACTCGTTAAGATGTGACCTATAATCGAGGATTGGTTTATGCTAACTGAGATTGATGGAACGATTGTTGGCGAGCTGTCAACCGGCTAAAAGTCGGTATAAACATTTATTAATCCGGTGTGCCACTGATTCGTTATGAAGTCTAATATACTTCTTCAGTGCAATCACTTTTGTTTATCTTACATTATATATTTCTAAATTTTGGTTATCCGTTTTGCACACATTTAGTCTAATTGCAAGTAGATACACGTAACGTAAAACTTGATAAGCTTGACTGAATCGAACGGTTTTCATTTACAATTGTAATTATTCACTGCAAAACGGATATGTCAAAATTTGCCTTCGGCTGGGTATCAGATTCAACAGACAGGATTAAATTTTGATTATGTAATATTCCGCTTTGTAAAACCGAAATATCAACTGCCATAGATACTGCTCACCGCATTACAGTTGCTGGTCGACGTTAACGTTGGATCGAGTTCCGACTTGGGATCTTCTGAGGAATGAGCTTCGTCCGACGCCCATACCAAAGAGAACAAAAGACACGGCGGGATTATATTCGTGCATGATAACGGACGTTGACGATGGCATCTCGACGTTTAATGGAAGGAGCTACTCGGAGGATGAAACCATCGAAGACAATTTAGGCATGTGATTATCTGCGACGAGAAACATTATCATCATTTGAATGTGGATATAATGTATTATATATAATAGTTCTCAAGATACTCAAGCATCAGCGAAGCGATGGTGCTACCCCAGAACGAGTGAGGGAAACAAAGTTGTCCCCTGGGGATAATTCATTATTTTCGAACTCGAGGGTAGATGTTATACGCAAGTATCAGCGGAGATTTAATTTGATAGCTGAAAATTATTGTGCAATAATTAACGCGGTGCAATCAAGTTAAAGTTCCTGAGGGACAAGTTTGTCTAACGCTTCAATTAACAAACTGCTTTTATGTTTCAATAGAAAATTCAATATCGGATTGCCCACAAAACAATTTGCGCAAGTTAAATTAGAAAGTTTGGAAAAAAAAAGAAATTAAACTGTGTCCATTATCGAAGAAAAATTTGCTCTCTGATGTAATGTTATATTAAAAATTCCCATTACATGTCCTCGAAATTGCGTAATAACCGTGAATTTACCGTATTTTATAGATGTCTCGTCAAACGAGGTCAGCATGCCTTTTTACCGTTCGTATGAATCGATTGGGTTAATATAATCGTCTCGGTAGAACTCGATCGAGTTGGAGATGGACAGAGATTCAACAAAATCCGCTTGCTTCTGAAACGTTGCTTGTTCAGCCGAGGATAATTGTCGGCGAAATAAGTTTTTAAACAGCGTTCCCATCGTCAACAATTGTTCTTCAAACGGTGCTTGGCTCCTGTACGTCGACGCTTGTCCCTCGAAGATTTCCTCTGGAGTAAGCGATTGTCCTTCGAAAGAATTGTCTCTGAGAACCGACCGTTCTCCACGCATTTTCCGATTCTTCAGTATTGCGTCTTTGAACAGTTTATCTCTGAACGATGTTACCATGAAGGAGTTCTGTTTGATCGGATGATGACGAAAATTCGGAAAGTCAGATGGATAGATAACTCGGTCTTTCAAGAACACATCGCGAAAAGCTTTCTGGATGACAGTTCGATCTCTCACTGGTATAATGGCCAAAGTTTGCAGACCGATGGTCTTGTCGACAAACGGTTGGTCCAGAAAGAAACTTTGTGGACGAAATTCGCGATAAAATGTGGCTTCCGCATTGGGCAAAACGACGTCTCTTTTAATTTTATATATGGCCTTCAGATATTACCGTCATCGCGACGACGACAACCTGAAGGCAGATGAAAATACTCGCGTTTAAAAATATCATAATCGCTGATAATTTTTACGAAAGGTTCACCAGGACTTGTATTTGGTATGCCATTAATAAGCTCTTGTTGTTTTGTAAGTTATAGTTCACTGCATTTTAATTAAAAAATTGATATATATTAACTTGCGATACATCCGCAATTTTAACGGTGACATTAAAGATCGAACGTAATGACTACAACAAGTGTAAGTGATCGAGATCAACAGTCTTATATATAGGATTGATGAAATCTTTCTTTTAGTTTTTACCCTTTCATTGCCAGTGCAAGACTGGTCTGGCAAAACACGTATTACTCTGCACTTTTCATCTTCTAGTATAGAATTCGAATTTGAGTTTCTTATATAAGGCGCAATATATAATACTGTAATCTCACAAGTTTTATTTTATGGGGAATCATGCCAAGTTTAATATGCATTAATGTTTTAATTATTTTATTAGAAATACCGCGGCAAAATTTAGATTTCGGATCTCGAAGGTATCTAAAGCATTTAATAAAGCATACAAATATATCCCCTTTTGTTTCTGAAGATGAGGAAATATTTGTAGAAATAAAGTGACTTGAACAGACTATTTTTTAACGAACTCGGTAGGAAAAGAATTCGCATATGATTATTAGTTTCAAGAATCACATGTTTCAAGAGTATTAAGATTATCATGATAATAATTTTGATATTTCTTTTTAATATTCACCGTAACTACTTGAATATTAAAAAAACTTTCTTCCCTGTAATCCGTTCTTATTTTTTCTTGAAACTGTATCGAACTCTCGCTAAGAATATAAGAATCTGAAATAGCCAAGAAATCTCTGCGACGCGTATTGGAAAGAGAAATAAAGATACACTAAAAGAAGAATTGCGCTCGCTACTTCGCGTTTTAAGTGCAGATGTAAGAAGGAGCCGAGTTCGTCTTGAGGTCCTTTGAGGAAAATTGCTTGCAATAGAGGCGGCCAATTGCAGAGGTTGTCCTTTACGCACAGATGAATGAATTTACTTTAGGAATATATCATTTCAAAGGAACTCGTTTTCCGCTAGCTCTTTCGGCTTTCACCTGGAAGACAAATCGGGTAGGACGAGGGGCCCGGGATGGGGTTTACTTAACTTCAGCTTCAACTCCGGGATTGGGGAATGAGAAACAGACGCGAAAGAAAAAGGTCAAGTATGTCTTCTTCCAAGTGGCGTGCCGCGCGAAAAAGCCATCTGCGTTTCAACGTTCACGTGCAAAGTTTATTTTACTTTGCGTCTTATAGATGTGTGCGGATCTGCGGCTTTCTTCCGCGCAATACAGGCAAGGCAATAATCGACAAGCAAGAAGAACGAAATTAACTTTTTCTGCCAGTTCTATCGCGCTAGTAAAGTACGTGTATATAATAGTTTTGCTTTTATCGTGTGTTGCGCTAACCAAAGTTATACGTTAAACTTAATTGAATAAATTTTTGCAAGATTATAGTTATAAAGAAAAAAGTCTAAATTCAATATGATACTTTAGGCTTTAAAAAATTTAATATCAATTTAATTACCACTTTGGAAATATAATTTCTTGTTATAAAAAAAATTATAAGAAAATTGTATAATAATAAAGTATAATTGTAATAAATAACAGAACTTCTTAATGTTTTAACCTAAATAAAACGGAGAAACTTATATTATGATTTCTTAAATACCCTTTTCCAGGCCATTATTAGGTAATATTTTGAAGAAGTTACGAAGATATGAAATCGTGCGATGTTTATGGAATTTCTATAATGGATTATTTATTTTATACAAAAGACGTCGTAATTTGCCCGTTTCGTAATTCACCCGTATACAAACTCGTGGGCTAAGCTGGCGGTATAATTTTTTATTACTTCCTTACTGTCGCCTCTTTAAAACTCTGCGGA